AATCAGAGTCTGCAGTTTGGCAGTTTTCCTAGGTGATTTTATGCATATTAGACTTCCAGAAGCAGCATCACATACTGGTGTGCCCTTATTCTGTATTTGTGAAGGAAGCAGTCACTGGACCCTCATTCAGTTCTTCATTCTAGAGCACCATTGAGGGTCACCCCCCCAGATGAAATTTAAGCTCTTGGTGCCTGTTCAGTAAAAACATCTGTGTGCTCACATCTGTGAACTTGGTAGCTAATTATATTCTTTCCTGTTGCTAATGGAAAAAAAATAAAGCCTGATCCTAATGAATGAGTTTATTAATCCATTGTAGTCCCTTTCCACCAATATCTATGGTCAGATTTTATTTTATTTGTTTTAAGAAAAACAAAAAGCACAAAACAGCAATAAGAGATAAGAAAACAGTAACAGTATAGGTTTTCAAAACAAGATGATAGAAATTTACCAATCAGTATAATATTGCATATTGTTACCTTCGAAAGGGCTGCTGAGATTACCAGACATAGACATGTAAAATTGATCTAATCATATGACTATTAACTGTTCTTTTCTAAGAACTAATACAATTAGTAGTATAATCATCTTAGCTACAAATCTATGTCTTTTTCCTTTTCCCTTCTTTTTTCCTGCTTTCCCCATCCCAGTTACTTTTCCTGTTTGAGCAGTTTCTTATATTAGATTTTATTTTTAACAACATACTAAACTATAAATTTGGTTCATGGGGTTTTTTTCCTTCCCAAGACTTAATGGCTGTTCCTATGTCCTGACGCCATCTCTGTGTCTCTCAGTGGTATACACACCTTGCCTCTTGCTCTGGTAGTCTATAGGGTGGTTGGAGAAATAAGATCATCCCCAGCTCCTGCATATTAAAGGAGAGAGAAACAAATGCCAGGAAGATGTATTTTTTGATCTCAGGAGCTAACCTAGGCAGTAGGCTCAGGAAAGGTTAAGAAGTGCCCAGTCACAATGGGAGGCTGGAGCCAGCTCTGCACAAGAGCAAGCAGGCTCTTGTGGAGAAATCTGCTCTTAGGTATGGTGCTTAGGCTCAGGTAATGAGGCCCCCTGAGACTGAAGTTCAGAAGTGAAATCATGAGTCATGTATAGACAGGCACAATGATCCCTAAAGGGCCAACTCTCAGAGAGAGAAAAGTCTCTTAACTGACTCAGGGTTTGTCTTTTACAGCACTTTAAGTTTTCACAGGTGTTCCATGAGGTTGCTATTATGACTGATAATCTACAGCTAAGGAAAATAAGGTTAATGGGGTTAGAAACATCACCTAAGATCACACGGCTGAAAGTGTGGCATCAAACATAAGACTGACCAGGCAGTGCCTATCTGCCTCATCTTACACTACACCCATTGTCCAGGATGCCTGACCATGCTGACCCGAGTTCAGTCTTGGTTGCAGTGATGGTGGAGCTGGAGGAAGAGACAGAAGGGCTCCAGTTTCAGCAGGGAGGTGAGCAGAAGCAGCATGACAGGTCCATCAAAGCCACAAAGCCACGGAGTGGCAGGGATGAATCTAGGCAGGGATTTTCAGCTCTGGACACTCTCTTCTGCCCCTGGATGGGGAGGAGACAGTGCTCCTCGTCACAGTTCTGAGGGCTAAGATGGTGGCAAGGCAGCTCACAGGCTGGGGCTGATGAAAGGTTGAAGAGGGAGAGAGGAATGAGAGGGCCAGGCCTGAGGAGAGCTTGACTCTGTTGAAGCAAAATAGCCGGTTTTACCACTCATCAGCCTGGCAAAGCAGCTGACCTGGAAAAAAAGATCTAGTGGTCCTAGAGGTCAGAAATTAAGATCCTACTCATTTTGGTCCTTGGCCGTCCGCAAAACCAGTGAGGCTGAGTTTTCAGGCTGCCGGTGTTCTCAGGGCCCTAAGGACCGAAACTTTGGGTGACCCTGACAGCTGAGCCCCAGGCTACGTCTGATTTGTATCAACCACTGCCTGCCCCCAGCACACAGACTCCTCCCAGCTGCCATCTCTGCCTTCACCTCCCCAGCTCAGCCCTGAGCATTTCTCCAGAACTTCCTGTTTGTCTGTGGCTGGCTGAACAGACATGTAGGTCCCACCCAAGGTCATCTAGAGGATGCTTGGGGTGCGGACTGGGGGTCAGCTGTGCTCCCCAAAGTCCTTTTACTCACACAGGGGTCCTCTGGACTTCATCACTCCCATGGGATCCTGTAGATAGTGGAGCAGTGGCCACATATCCAAGTCGGCTCATAAGAAGGTCAAGGTGACCTAGAAAGGCTATGGGCAAGATCCTTAAAAAAAAAATTTTTTTTTTTTGGTTTGATTTTTCACTTTCCAAAAAGACCAAACTGTAATGACTTCAGGACATGGCGTTCCAGAGAAAACTGGGAGAGGAACAAAGCCTTCCTTGGTTGGGGAGATGGAGAAAAGTCACGCAGGGAGTGAAGTTTTCCAGTCGCCCTAAAGAGTGTCACCAGGGTCAAAAGACTCACAGGTGCAGGGTTGGTAGGGGCTGTGAAGAGGGACAGAATGAATGTTCCTGGAGGGCAGGGACTAAGTCAACACCAGCTTTGGAAAATTTCCAGGATGTGGGCCTGGAAAATGTTCCTTTTTGCAAAACAGAGTTTTCTGGGTGGCTGCCATTTCTTCCCAACTTGTCCAAGAGGGCAAAAGCTAAAGTCACCAGGAGAGGATCTGTCTGCCTTGGCTGGCTTTGGGCTGTTTGCCACATGCCCATGCTCATGGTTAATTTGTGTCTCTGTGTTTAGACAATTGCTGAAATATACCATTGCATTAAAGCGTTGTAGTTGTCTGAGTTTGGGGGTCCTGTGACAGAGTCTTATGAATGACTTGAAAACACACTTCAATCCAAGGGGTTGGGAATCCTGGAAAACTTGGTTTTGAGTCTCTTTACTGTCTGCTTCTATGGGACTTTGATCTGTGACAATATATGGGAGAAGACAAATAAGACACTAAATGGCAGAATTCTAATAGTCCCGAGAAAGACAAAGTTGTGTTATCATCACTGTATTTTCAGAGCTGACCTTTCCTTTGCCTCTGTCTCTTGATGCCCCTTTGTCAGCCCAATTTCGTCTGCTATCTTCTACTTGAATGTGGCCGTCATGAGCACCAGTAGGAGATTAGAGAAACATCAGGGCATTTGCTCCTGAGATTCTGGTGGCAGCTGTGGTCCTTCTTCATGCAGCCCTTACCAAAGGCCCATCCATCAAAACACAGTTCTGGCTTTCTTCAGGCTCCTGTGCTAGGCATTAGCACCACCAGTGCCATGCTTCCAGTGTCTAGGAAATAGCTCCTTTGTGAAGGTCTGTTCATTTGAATCATCTTCAGGGCTCTCTTCTGCAAGATTCTGAGAGAGTCTATAACCTGGCTGACTTCCCAGTCATCCCAAGTTTCTCATAGGAAGTGAATGCCATACTGTTGGCATTATTGCTGTTTTAGTTACCTACCCCCACCCAGCACTGAGGATCAAGCCTTTGCACTGAGCTATACTCACAACCTCTTTTCTAATTTGTTTGAGACAAGATCGCTAAATCACTGAGTGGTCTAGCTTGTGCTTGAACTTTCAGTCCTTCCTCCTGTGTCACCATCCCAGCCTGCTGTGATTATTAGGTATGTCCCACTACACCTGGCTTGATTGGTTCCTGACTGCTGACAGTGCCCTATAGGGAGATCATCTTTGCACAGATGGGCAGTCTGAAAGATGACAAGACAGTGGAATAAAGGCTTGGCCATTGTGGCCTTGCTTGGAGAGACTACCTGGTAAGTCCTTCCTGATGGACTTGGTCAGTGTTTTGCTCATTCTGCATTCTCTCCCTTTCCTTCTCAAGTGTTGGCTTCTAATGAGTAGCTTGATCCCAAACACTGTTTGTCTCTTGTTTCCTGGAACCCAACCTATGAGATGATAAGTTTAGAAGAATTTACAGAAAGCAATAAAAGCTTTTTTAAAAGACAATTTTGGGGGAGGGGCGATTTTGCATCTTGCAAGGAACTGGTACAGGAGCAGGGTGAACCTGGTCCCTTCTAAGGAGGGATTCTGGACCAGAACTGTTCATTAACTTCTAAATTCAGTGCAAAGATGAGCTAGAAGAGTCTGTATGCCTGATGGTAATGTGATTTTGCACACAAACAAGAAAATAGCTCTGGAACAGTATGTATGTTCTCCAGGATTATGAGATAGGATGGACCAAGAAACCTAAAGGATATTTCAAGGGAATGATCTGAATTTTTGTTTGAGTGGTCTGAGAAATGAACATTTTTTTCTGAATTTGACCCTTGGGGCTATGACTCAGTAACAGTCTTCCAATCTCAATATCCTTGTATCTACATATCTGCTAGTCTCTTGAAAATGCAAGGCGTTTCCCTTTCTCTCTCTCTGTAGCAGGAAAGACCCTTTTCCACTTGGTGTTGGACCAATCTTTCTTTGTGGGTGGCTGGTTCTCAAGTGTAAATATGAGTCTCAATTCCATCCTATGACCTCTGAGGCAACAGGAAGCACTAATTAAAATTATTACCCTTCTGAGCAGATATTGAGAGGTGTTGTCAGATTGCTGGCCAGACATATTAAAGTGCACCATAACCCAAGGTCCAAGTAATGACCAGGGACGATTCTATAGCCAAGGACACTTCTCTGCCAAATGATCAATAAGGTCCACCCAGATTGAGGTAATTCCTACTTCCAGACATTCCAAAGTTTCACATTTATGACAGAATTGACTCTCCCAAGCCAAAATAACCACTTCCACAATGGGACTTTCCCCTTTTGACAGCCCTGCATCTGTATGATTAGTCCCTTCAATATCTCTAGGTCATTTCTTATGCCTTGGTTAGTGCCACAGCATTTGGATCCCTCTACAGCTGATATCCTTCGCTCAAACTGGCTACCATGGGAGTTGTAAGGACAAAACTATTTCCCATGATTAATGGCTGAATACTATCCAATTCCTGCCCAAGCCCACCCGACTCAGATACCCAATTTCCAAAAGATAAACACACACACACTTCAGTCCTCAAAATTTTATTGAACGGAGGAGAAACGGCCAATATGGATTTCTCATTTTGTCATGTCTGGTATTTCACCACTGACACGACAGGTGATGGGCTGTTTTCTGGCTTCGAGCTCTGATTTCAGGTCTCCTTGGCAGTCCTCCCTTCTGTGGTCTCCTTGCTGCCTGGTGGTGCTTGAAGTTTACCAGGGCAGATCCTGCTAGCTGATCAAACATGGGAGCGAAAATTGCGGTTGGCTATGAAGGAAGGACAGGTTAATGCTCAGAAGACAGCTCAGTGCCCTTTTTGATCAAATGGAGTTTAGTCTCGGGCTGAGGTTCCGGGACATGAGAGTGGCCCGGAAGAGTCAGGCTCACTTCTCCTCCCCCACTCACCGTCATCGCTCCTTTTCCTACTCCTCAGACTGCTTTTCCGGTATTTTCTTTTGTTGCCACCTCTCTTGACACCCTTGTGAGGAGTTCTGTTCTTGCCCCTCCTCATGCCATGGCTCTTTAATTTGCGGCTAGTCGACATTGCTCTTTGTGCCAAGACGAGGGGCCTTGAGCAAGGCCCAGAGGTTGGCAGCCTGAGTATTTAAGGCCTTGGGCATTATGACAGCAGAGGGCGTGGCTGTGCAGCTGGGTGGGGTGAAGGGTCTTTTTGTGAGGTCACTAGCTTGGCTGCACTTTGGGCAGGCGTGTGAAATGAGATGGTCTCTTCAGTGCAGCGCAAGGCTGGTCTTGGTTAAATATTTTTGGGTTAAGAGAAAATTTCCAGATAGGTATTATTGAATAAACTCCAGGATACTGGGGATGTATAAGTGACCATTAAAATTCAGTGTGTCCATGTGGATGCATGTTTGTCCCTAAGAACATCCCAGAGATAAAAATACTGTATTTCTAAAAGCACTTAACTCCTGGAAATCAAATTCAACAGGGTTAAAATACATATTTTCCTTCTCTTTCATCTAACAAGCTTTCTCAAGGCTGATACCCTTGATGCCATAGACTGGGTAAGTTTTTGTGGATAGTCCTACCCTTTGTAAGATGTTTGAACATTATCTGTGAGCTCTACTCGATGCCAGTAGAGCACTCGCAAGACATTGCAACCAAAAATGTTTCCAAGCGATGCCCACCTATCCTTTTGGGAACCTGGAGCAGTATAAGACACAAAGTGACTCTGGTTGAGAACCATTGTCTTGAGAATTAAAAAAAAAATCATAAATATTTGTTAGGCACATAGGATATGCCATGAACTCATGTGCTAGGGAAATAGGCATGGATTAAAAACAAATAGGATTCTGTGTACATGGAACTTCTATCTAAGAGGGCAGTAAGTCATTAATGAGCTATCAGCACAGAACAGTAATTTGTTAGGGGGTTATTTTGGCTTCATTGAGTAGAGGCAGAGGGAACTTCTTCTCACTGTGGTATAGGATGAGACTGGAAGAGACAGAAACCAAATGAACCTCAAGTGCATCAGGAAGCTTAAATTAGGAGGATGCTATGATGAGATTCAAGCCTACTGGGCGGGTGATGGACTGAATAGAGGAGCTGAGAGAGTAAAGGGAGAGGCTATGGTTAATAGTGGTTTCAGAGAGATTTGATAGCAGCTTAGATGTGGACTGGGGAGGGCGCTGATTAAGCTGTTGAGAGGTACACAAGAGACAAAGTCTCGGTGACAGATTGGATATAGAAGGTGTGAGCAGTTGGTGTCAAAGCTGTGGCTTTTGTTGCTGTGTGATGCAGCTCTCCGGATGCCTGTGCCACTGACGGGCAAAGGCCCAAGCAAGGGCAGGCTGATGATGGTGCATTTAGTTTAAGACATAATATGCTGGGTTCAAGAAGCTTTTAAGATTTCAAATTAGAAATACTGAGTGACGATTGTGATCATTGGGCATATGCGCCTGAGGACTTCTCATCCAACTTTTTCTTCTTTCTCTTATGTAAGTCATACTATGTTCTTTGAAACAACTTTCAAAAGAATTTAAGAACTAATTTTTGTTTTTCTCTTAGCTGCCATTATCTTCACTCAAGAACTGATCATGTAGGATTTGGTTTCTGTTTTTCTTCTAGTAAAAGTTGAGTGGAGGAATATAGTTCAAACCCTATTCCCTATATTTCTAATGTTTGTTGATAAGGTATCCAATTATGTCTTGAAATCCAGGGTATCATAAGTGACACTTCTTTTTCTATTTCCAGGAACTAGGAAGAGGGAGGAGGTCTATTCAACAGGCTGCTACCTGGCCTTATAGCGCAGGAACTTCTCTGTCCACTCTGGGTTATTTGTTCCTTCTGCAGTCATCCCCACAAAAGTGAGGACCTCCATAAAAGCATACAGTTAGCAACCATAGAGTCCCTGGGTGTTAAAAGTCTTGCCACAGAACAGGAGCTCAATACGTTTTTGAGGAATACATTTATTGAATAAATAAAAAGTTCTTATGTGTTTTTTAGTTTTCCTATTCCTCTCTCTGTATCCGCCCCATCTCCAAGAATCTTTTTATCAAGTTTAAATTGTTCTCATAACATTGGCCTTCAAAGCTTAGACCACAAATGCTAACTACGTGAAACCCTGTTGTATGCCTGGATTGCAGGTTATGTGAGTTAAATTGGTCTCAGCGGGAGGTTGTGAATCTTGCTTCTAGTGTGATGATTCCTCTGGATTTTGGCTATCTGGTAAATAAATTGGGCTAGGTGATCTTGAGATGAACAGGCTTTGGCAGGGGCCTCCCTGTAGTTAGGGACTATATCTCTTATTCTACTTCATCTCCTATGTTTGCTAGCATGGTCCACAATAAGTGGTCAGTACATATTTGTTTAGTCTAGCTGTTTTGGGTTATTATGGGGAGTGACAGTCCAACACCATCAGAGTGACTGAACAAGAGGGAGCAAGGAAGGGAGTTAAGGATATCGCCTCTGTCACGCCCTGCGGGTGTTCTGTGCTGATCTCTGATGCTGGCTCTGCTGGCTGAAACCTTTACAGAGCAACTGACCTCTTAGGTTGGAGAGAGGTTTTCTGGAGGTGCTGGAGCCTAGATACTATTTCTCTCCCCAATGCCTTCTATCCCCAAAACCTCTGTCAAGGAGAAGCTGAGGTCACAAGGAAGAAGGCAGCCAGACTCAAGAGCTGAAGAAGAAACAAACAAACAAAAGGCCCCTCTTTGCACGGGGTTGAAAAGCTGCCCGGGTTCCAGACGCCCATGCTGAGAAACTTGAGCTGCAGAAATCCCTGTGTGGGGAGGCGACTCACAGGCTGGGGAAGGGTGGGGCTGGAGGGTGTTGGGGTTGGCCGCTCTATCAGACCTCCTGGAGTGAGGGCTGGCCGCTGTGCCGCTGCATTTCTCTTTCCATTTCTGCCCCAGGGCTGTGTGAGCCAGTGCAGCACTGTGAGCTCACTCCTGAGCCTCAGTGGGCCCGGAGTGAGGCCTTCCTTGGAGGACCTTCCTGTTGACCTAGTCTGCTCCCTGTCTCCTCACCTTTTCGACTCCTACCATTTTTTCAGGGGGATAAAAATGAGGGTAAAAAAGCATAGAGCAGAGACAGCCCAATAAAACTGTCTCCCTCACACCTCGGCTTACCCAGTGGGACTCAAGTCTTGTTCTCACTCTGACATTTTTGGATTTAATTTTTATTTTGATTGCCGAAAGGAAATGAATATTTTCTGGTAGCTATTAGCACATGGAGAGACAGAGAATTTCTTTTTAGAAGAGGAATTACCAGTTCCTTCTGTCTTGGGACTGAGGATTGTCTTTCTGGACACAGGTAGATGGGTACATGGTGCTCTTATTTCTGAGAAGGACAGTCAAGGTAGAAGTACATGGCCCAGCGGCCCCATTCTTAAGTTAGGAAGGGTAGGATGAGGGTGTTACTGATTTGAAAGTCAGATCTCTAGCTGGATCCCATCTCACCTCTGCAATTCAAATTTATTCCATTAGTTTTTGTGAGGAGTCCAATAGATGTCTCAAAGGGGCCGGACCTTTCCAGCAGGTTGGGATTTGGGGTTTATTAAGAGAGAGCATGGAAAAGTTGCTGACAGCCTTTATACATACTGATGACTCAGTCTGAATCCCGCTCTGAAACCTAAGTCTCTCCAGATGTTGACCTCAGCTGAGGAGTGGGGACCTTCTGCTCTGTTCACATGCACACCCTGTCTTTTGTGTGACTACAGATGCTGCCGCTGTTTAAACAGGCAGAGGGTGCTGGGACAAGCTACAGGAGGTAAAAGTGGCCAACAGAGATGCCTCGTGTAATGCAGAGCTCTCTGAGCCCAGAGCACAGATACCAGATATCTTCAGCAGAGAACTGAAATCAAAGACCCAAGTCAAGGAATGGTTTTCTGAAAAAAAAGGGAGGACCTCAACTCCACTCACCTTTCCCAACTAATTCTGGAAAATGTAGAAATGTTTTGAATTTGTGAGTGGTCTGGGTTTTGCCTGAGATTTGCTGGCTTTTCTTTCCCATTTTTCTTTTCTCATTCTCTCTGTTACATTCTCAAATTGTATTTCCATGAACAATTCCTATTTTTTAGGAGCAGAGACGCTGGATGACTAAAATGTGGGAGACTCATCATAGGAGTGGGGCCCTTTCCTAGTTACTTTGGGGGTGCTGAGGATTGTCTGAGAGGCTGACTGTACCTAGCAGCAGAAGAGCCAACCAGAGACCAGGACTGCTGATTCCTGGGTAATGGACTGCTCCCTGATGCACATGGCCTTCCTGTCTTAACTTAGAAATATATCTGACCTTGACTCTCCATTTTGCCTGTTCTCTCATGCATGTGGTGCCAGGATCACAGGAAGGGAATATAAATTGAAGAGAAAGGGAAAAAGGGGGGAAAAGTAGCACATTCTTTTAAAGATAGATTGTGAACTGGATGGTCCTCTGGAGAAACTTAAAATTTCTTACTTTGAGGTATTGCAAGCTTTTGGACTTTTGAAAAACTAGTTAATTTCCATCCCTGTGATTTTCCGAAGTCATCACTAAAGTCACATGGTACAATGTATACACACACACACATCCAAATTTTACCCCCCAAGATGGTCAATATAGTTTTTACATCAATCTCTCCACTGTGTCTATTAAGTACGATTCTCACCTATAACATAGTAAGAAAGGTGTTCCTTCTCAGGACATGCTGGAACTTCAGTTCCCTATAGCCTAAACATAAAAATGGGGCTGTAACCTAGGATATTTGGAAGGGGTGTTGTAAAAAATATCACACGTATTAAGTCATTTGACCTCATGTGATTGTTAGGAACAAATGTGTTTTGTCCATCCAGCAATTGGAGTAAGGAATTTTGAGTTGGAGGGTTGCTAGAGAACCATTTCACAATAAATAGGGTTGGGGATGAAGAGTAACTTGGATAAAGTCACAGATTATAGGCAAAGTCAGATCCCATGCCCAAATTTCCTCTCAGTCTGGGCTCCTCGCCACTGTGCCATGATGAACCACAGTTGAAATTTCTGGCCTTTTTTCCCCTTCCTTCCTGGGCATTTGCTCTGTTCCTCACATTTCCCTTCCTATTTGTGTCTTTTTAAAATCATCCTACCGTCTGAGGACCGTCAGTGTGAGAGATACCTGGTCCTTAAAAGGAATGTTTGTCACCAAAAGGGGAGAGGTCCAGAAAGGCAGACTGAGGTTGCCACATATGACAGCCAATGCCTTCACAATTGATGATTTCACAGCATTGTGATTTTCATGCTGGTGCCAATGCTTTGGGCAGAGGAGACCAGTAAAGGCACTCATAGCCTAAGTACAAGGATACATTGTAAAAAACAAAAACAAAAAGCATCTTTTGGTGGTTCTATCACTGTGTAAATTTACACAAACCAAGATGTCACTATGTGATACAGTCTTATGGGACCACTGCTGTATATGCTGTAAACCATTGAATGAAACACCCTTATGAGACACATGTGTATTTCGAGGTTATTTTTAATATAAGTGTTGGATATACTCTATGACCGAGGTTGGATAAGGACAAGGTACCACAATTTAGTCTTATCTTGTAGACTAGATGAACCTTCCCAGTGGTGGTCCATGAAGGGTAAGAAGCAACAGACTGAAAGCACAATTTTGCTTTGCACCCTGTGACTACCAAAAGACTGAGCTGGCAAGAGAGTCCTGCCCCATGGTTTCTGCCTGATTGCTTTTCCCAATGCTCTTTTGGAGAGAATTCTCACATTTGGGAGTCCCCGAAAAGTAGGTTTAGTTATAGTCACACTAAGGAAAGAAGGCAAAGTGACTCTGTGGCTGCTCTTTCTGGTCTAGAATTCTGCAGCCCAAAGCACAGAGGTTTGGTAACACTTCACCCTCTCCTCTCCTTGTTCCCAGAGAGCTGATACGATTTGTCTAGAGAAGTCTTCAAAACAAAGCCTTCATTTTTAGTAGGACAAAAGACATAGCCAAGTGTTTTTGAATGTGGCTGTAATCAGATTTTATTGTTAACAAATTCTTGAGCCTGGGCAACCTTTCATTTCTATTTTATGGGAGAAAATATGAAGGGCAATGCCACAGAGATGCTCTGGAGTCTGGAGTCTGGTGGGGAATGTCACCTATGCAGAAGACTCGTTTGCTTTGTAGATCACTATACCATGATGGTAACAGTGACCCTTTCTTCATGCCGCAAGGAAGGAAAGACAAAACTCAGCCAAAAGCGTTCTCTGCTTAGGTTGAGAGAGTCTCATGCGATTCTGTAGGTAGACAGCATACAAAATCTCTTGATGATTTACAGATTGTTCCATGTAATTTTGTCACCTTTTTAGCTAGGGTTTTGGAAAAGACAAAACTCAGCTGAAAGCATTCTATGCTTAGATGGGGGAGTCTCAGGAAATTCTGTAGTAGACACACAAGGCTCCTCAATGATTTCCAGCTTCCAAGTCCAAAAAGAGTTTTAAAAAGAGAAAGCCTACTCCCCTTTGGTCCTGTTGAGTCCTTCATGATGCCCATATTTCCCTGACCCAGTGTGGAAGCCCAGTTTTCAACCTCGTTACTTTGGACTATTTTATGGTGGGGGCTGCTTACACCTGTTTTTTCTTGCAAAGTGCTGCCCAGTGAAACTTCCCAAAACAAGGCTCATCATGTCATGTGCATGTTCAAAGAAGTCTGAGAAAGGAGACACGTTGGTCTACAAGGTGGAGACCATTTTCCCACAGCATTTCAGTTTCCATTGCTCCCCCCACCTCACCCTGTCTTTTATTTTCTCCCTCAGGCAATCTCTGCTGTAGGAGCCAAATTGGGTTATTTAAAAAGTGGAAAAAGTTCAGTTGTTCATGGAAAACTCAGTGGTTTGTACAGAATTTTTTTTTTTTAGCATTGTCACCTATTAAATTACTGTCTTTCAAAACTCCAAACAAAGGCCCCCAAATTCTGTCATTGCTTCTTCATGTAAACTCCCATACTATACCTCTTGGGAACATTTTTATATCTTTTAACTGGTTCTGTCTGGAGCTTTTTTTTAGTATGCTTGTCTCCTCTTAACGTCAGGCTTCTTGAGATGGAAGCTGTATCTCTGTAGAATCCATGAGAATAAAGCAGGGGCATTAGTTAAAAATGTACCAAATTAAAGTATCACATCCACACTAGGGATTGGAGAGGGGTTGAAGAGGGGTAAGAATGATTACAGAGAGACACGGGAACAGTTGAGAGCTGTGGCTATGGTTATTATCTTGATTTGTGGTGCTGGGTTCATGAGTATATGCCGTGTCAACATTTATCAGATTCTATTCTTGAAATACGTGCAGCTTAGTGTATGTTAATTATACATCAATAAGGTCATGTTTTAGACATCAACATTATTCAAGACCTTACTCAAGAGTTTTCTAGAAATAAGACAAACCAGAAATGCTCACCTAAACATGACAGTAGATATAGGTTTTCAAAATGTTGGCCTTGTGTTTGAAAGGTGATGGGTACTGCATTTAGACTGTATCATTTGTGGAGGTTCTTATGGCCCACATGGAGGAGTAACCAGCTGATGCAAGGAATAATCATACATCACATATCAGTTCTGCCCCCGCCACCCAACCAAGCTCTCATGTTGACTTTCACCCATTGTGACAAACAGCATCAATCATCAGGTCCTTTTACTAGGAGGGCCCATGTCATAGCTGCTCACATAAAGGGAGTGAGGGGTGGGCTTCTTTGGCTCCATGGAGTTGGGGTGAGGGCAAGGAATAACAGGGAGAATAGATAGAGGTTGTTTCAATTAGAACCTCCATGCTGGCCAGAGCAGGGGAACATGAGAAGATGGGGAAAGTCCATAGATATAGGTGTTCAGCATGCTAACTAAAGGTTTCTCTCAAAGATGAAAAGCAAGGATAGGAACCCAGGATAGGAACAAAAAAGGTATTGGTGACTTTTCGGGTTACAAAGATGACTCCTAGAGGAAGTGTCATCCTGGGTTGACCAGTATTCCAAAATGGCATACTCTTGTCAAAAGCTACATTCATCCTTCCCTAGCGATCCCTTCTCTTTTTCCTCTACTCACAAAGCCCCACTGGACCCTTTCCCCTCACCCTTACTAGTCATGTAAAGATCAGACTTCTGCATCCATTTTCTAAAAAGTTTTTTGGTCTTTTCTCTGCTGTGGAGCCTCTATTTAATCCTATTAGCTCAATAGAGAAGACATAAACTCTGGACCTATCTCTTAGAAAGAGAGTTTCTCAAACTTTTAGGAGTCCTGCCTTTGATAGTATTTCTGGGAAAGTGAGTTGGGAAGCTCCCTAGGTGAAAGCACATGGGTTTCCAGAATATGTGCCTTACATTTTCTCCTTTGTCTCCTTAGCCACATAAGAGACTACTTGAATCTGTGTTTTTCCATGTCACCTTTTGTTACAAAGAAAAGCTCCTTCCTTGGAAGGCCAGAGACCACCATGAATCATGATTGACTGTTCCTTTCCACCCCGGGGTCTCTAAATAAAATTTAACTGCACTGTCTGAGAAATACTATTTCTGAGTATAATTATTTTGCTGAAGAGTGATCTGTGGTCCCTGGAGTACCCCAGCTTTTCTTTCCCTCATGTAACAGGATAGGTGGGGTGTGGTAGGTGGAGGGAGAGGCAAGTGAGTCAGGAGGAAATACATTGTTTTTTACTTTTTTCCTGTTTGGAAGATTTACTAATGAAATTTATGGTTGGGCTTTGGTCTAGGGTAGGTCGAGATGCTTTCTGGATATGAGCAAGGTTTTCTTGGTTTGATAAACCATATAAACTTGGTCAGATTCAGTCTAGGCTGGGGTGGTGGTCATGATATTCAACAACTAGATTTCCACTGGATCATATTTCTGCCTCCATTTGTTGGTAGTAACAAAGATCCGTTTTTGTTTTTTTTTTTTTTTTTCTAGAAACAATTCCAGCTCATTCTGCTGTGAAGAAGCACTGGAGATGTAAACATGAAGAGCAAGAAATATAACAGACTTTGGATGGCATATGGTTGTTTGGACCATTTTTGAAGGGCAATACTTTCAAGGTTCTGATAATATTAGTGTACTCCAGATGCATATAACGTTGGGAACAATTTCGGGGTCAAATAATTTTTATAGATATTTGGAATCCTTTATGTAATTGAACTTGAACCTTGTTTGATTTATGCAAAAGTACTAGGTCATCTCTCACCTCCCATTCATTACTGTTAAACTTCAGAAGTTCTGCTAACACAGCAGGCCTGCCAGGGATCAGAAGTGCAATCTTTAAAAAGCAGATTCCAGTCAGGCCAATGCTGATCTCTAAACTCAAGGCCTTAGAACTCAGGAAGGATGTGGAAATTGGAAAAAAAGGTGGGAAACTGGAAAAGAGGTAGAGTCTTTTGATTACTCAGTGAATTCAGGTGGACCTAGGACTTTGTAGTATTTGCAGATGTTGGCGAGTTTCTTGAGTGTCTTTGATAACCCTTTTGTTCTTTAGCAGTCACACTGGTCTTGCTGTAGGGTTGAAAAAGGTAGCAGTTTATTCTTTTTCTTGAGGTAGTTCACTGTAGTAATATGAGAGTAGCATGGTATATGATAATGTCATAGGAATATGACAGTGTGTAAGCACATCTCACAGTAGAGGTTTATAGTAATGTCATAAGTGTAGCATTTGATGTAGGTACATCTTGTGGTAGTAGCTTAATGTAATACATGTTAGGTACATTATCACACATATCTTGCAGTAGTAATAAGTCCACCTTGTGGTAGTGGATTGTAGCAATACAGTTATATCATCAGATACATTTCTAGTAGTAGATTGTGATAATGTAACAAGGTCATCTTTTGGTAGTTGTGTCATCAGATATGGGTATACCATGCTGCAGTGTGTTGCAGCCCATCTGTTGGTTGTTGTTTGTGATAATGTCACAGCTATTTGGCCAGCTGTCTTTCAGCAGTATGGTTGTGGTAATATGTAATGTATGGTTGTGTGGTGACAGGCTGTGGTAAGGTTGTGCATGAATTTGCATAGCCTGGGGGAGAAAGCAAAAGAAGAAGAAGCCAGTAGCCTTCCTTGCTTCACTTTGGTGCCAGTCATCTTATATCACACTCACTATTTGTGGTGGATTGATAACTAGTGGTCAGTTTGCAATACCAGCTGAACTGAATCACCGTGGTGCTGAGTGTGCGTGGCCCATCTGAGGATTGTTGCCAACATAAAAAGAAGAACTGGAGAGGAAGAAGTAGTGTTGCTGGTTTTCCAGTTGGCACTGGTTTTGGAGAAGCTTGTCAAGCTTCCTTCCTGATATGAACTTGGTTGTTCTCATCATCAGAGGAGCTCGGGACCTTGTTGTCACTGAGAATGGCTTCAGTTCACTTTGGAGGAGCGTTGGTTGTACTTTATTCCTTCCTGGCTCCAGAGGGGAAGATGTGTGCTTTTCAGTCTCCAGGATAAGCTTGTCATGCTGACTTCCTGTTGTGAACTCAACTGTTCTGTTCGTGGGAGAAGTTTAGGACCTCGTGATACTTTTTGGGGGAGCCCTGGCCCTTATTTTGAGTGTCACTTCTTGGCTCTAGTGCAGATCCTTCAGCCTGTTGGCACAGATCTTTTATCCCACTGGCACAGACTTTCTAGTTTCCACTGCTGATCTTTGGGCCTTCCCAGTGCAGATCCGTGAAACAGACTCACATAAGACATTGCTGTGGTCTCTAGGCCTCTAGATGGACCCATAGAGGGCATTGTCATGGGCTCTAGGTCTTCAGCTGGACTCATGCAGGTTGCTGCATGAGTTTCAGGCCCTGGATACTTTGGGTCTTAGAGTGTGGACAGATTTCACTTGTATTTGACTCTTTGGGTATAAAATAATACTGTAAGTTATGTGTAATTATTTTCCTTGTTATCCTTGACTACAAAACTGATAGAATTGTGGCGTGGCTGAAAAGAAGTATGAAATATAAATGACCTTTATTTTAAGAATGCGGGGAGAGACCCCCTGCCCCTCTGGGGTCTGGCATTGTCTCCGGGGTCTGGCAATCTCTCCCTCGGACACGTGAAGTGGGGGCATATATGTAGCTTAGGTTTGGGTTGGTGCCTGAGGGGCATTACTGATGCACAGGTAGCCCATTGGTATTCATTTTGTACCACAGATAAATTCCTAGGGGTGGGGAAGATAAAGCTCAAGATAGAGCCCCCTGGTTCCGCCTCCAAGGCTTTTTACCAGCTACAGTGTCCCAAATGGGGCAAAATCCTTTCAAAAACTATGTTTTTCTAACTTTACACAGGACTTGTTTTACTATTCTCCATTTCCTCTGGTTATAATACAGGGCAAAATTAAAGGAAACTGAAATAAGAGTAACAACATTTCAGGAGGGTGTGTCTATCAGGGATCTAAAGCTTTGAATGAAATAGTTGCTGTGGAGGAGGACTTTAGGATATGAAAAGTTGAGTTTAATGTCTATGACACTCAGTATTTACTGATGAAAGGCTGTAATAAGGCAAACAATCATATTCCGAGTTGTATCTTACAGCAGCTTTGGTGAATCATGTGAGATAGTATCCCTCAAAACATAAAGGGCTATATATCCCGTATTTCATCAGTCTGTGGGTAGATCAGCTATGGTACATGAATGGCTTGGCTATGTTCCAATGAATCTTTTGGAAAATGTCTATAGGTTGGATTTGGGCTGTGGGCTATAGTTTGTCCGTGATTTCATTTATCTCAACTGTATAATCATGATAACCATAATCCCAGTTTTACTGAAACACTCTGAATCATCTGAATCATTAACTTAAGTTCATACAGCTTAGGATATGTTTAAGCTAGGACCCAAGCCAAACTATTATATCTTTATTCTTATATGATGAGAAAGTTAGGTAGAGCCATACTTCACCAGTGTAGCCACTGCTAGTCTGCTAGCTCCCCAAGAGTCTGGATTCTCCTTTGAGGATCCAAAATCTTGTGTCAATCTTTGCTTTCTTTTCCTAAGAGGTCCATTAACTGTGGCAGCCATGCCCTCTACTCAAAGGCCCTTGCCTCTTGCTGCATGTCTTTATAGACTGGGCTGTCTCTCTACTGGTTGCAGTGGGGTGGTGAGCTCTTGTTCAAGGGGTCATTTTGTGGGAAGGGGAGGAAGATTAGGGCACCGAACCTCCTGGTCCAAACCAGATGCATTTCCTGTCTCAGTTTTAGCTGAAAATGAGACAGGAAATGCATCATTTTAATATTTTGCCTCTCTCTGTGTCTGACAGAAATATTCTATTATTTGGATTTAGATAATCTGTTAACATCTTACATTTAGCACATTTCTAGTGGTTTACTTTTACTTAAAACATGTACAAAAATTTGTGCTTTTAATCAAAATTGTTAGTATCTTTATATTTTCTCATGATTCAACTATCACCGTGGAATTATAGTTCAAAGAAGATTTTTTCTCCCTAAATTGCTCTTCAGAGAGGTTTTATTGACCCATTGTCCCATCTATCGCGCATTTGAGAGAGCATTAACAGTAGAGAGAGCATTAACAGTAAACCTTGGCAATGACCTGAGAGTGACTGACTAAGAGAGGCTGTAAAATCTTATTACTTTGAGGATTTGGAGCACACTAGAGGCAAGTTACAGTACTATTCGTTCGAATAGGGAAGAAAGGCTGAGATTCATTGTGGGTCCCTTGACTTCTCTGAATTCTGAAAATGCTTTTTTATAGTATTGACTTGACTAGAAGCAGCACCTGCCTACCAATGTGCTTGTGCTCTCCCGTATGCACAGAACACCCACACGGTCATACGTCTCCTTTATCTTTTCCCGTGGTTTCAATTACCCACAGTCAAACAGTATGGAAAGATTAAATGGGAAACTCCAGAAATAAACAATTCATAAGTTAGAAATTGTGTGCTTTTCTGAGCAGTATGATGATATCTCACACCCTTTTTCTCCCCACTGCCTGGGACGTGAATCCTCCCTTTGTACTACACATCCACACTGGAGATGCCACCAGGTCTCCACTGGTCACTTAGTAGCTGACTGAGTTATCAGATCTGTTGTCATAGTATCACAGTGCTTGTGTTCAAGGAACTCTTATTTTTCTTAATAATGACCCCACAGTTTAAGAATGGGGATGCTGGTAATTCAGATCTGCCAAAGAGAAGCCAGGAAGTGCTTGTTAAGAGAAAAGGGAAGATGATTAACATATCCAAGGGAGTCTGTACAATCCCTGATTTCAAGCATTCATGGGAAGTTTTGGAATATATTCCCGGTGAGTAAGGAAGGCTACTGTAACAGGTGCCTTTAGAAGAATCTCAAATTTGGGAATACTTACCCAGTGCCTAAAAGTCATTAATTTACCATCACATCATGAATCCTTATTTTTTGGTATGTATCTCTTTATTGAATTTGTTAGCAGGTGTTTCATGTTCAAAGTTTTGTAATTATGGGGGGAAAGATAACCAGATAAATGTGAGACTTTTGGAATTTCAACTTACATTAATAAATCCTTTGAAGAAATTCTGATAAAGGGCTTTAGTTACTTATTGATCAATAGAATTTAAGTATCTTCATTTTCCTTTGTCCCTCTGAATCCAAGGAATTCAGCTAATAATGGGAGAAACAGTTTAAAAATGTAGATTAAGAAGATGATGGAGAAACAAAGACTAGAATAGTTCAGCTTCCAAGTTAGGACTTGAATTGGTGAGCATAAGTCATAGTTCTTTATTTGAATTCAGATGAAGGATGAAATGCAGACATATTTTCCACTGTTTAACCTGTCTTGCTTTCTGACTTGCTTGCTTCAGTCCAGAACACATTTGTATCTGTCACCTACAAAAACCAGCCTCCCATCATTTGAAATGTGGAGAATAGACCCTAAGCATTTTTAAGTTCAAGGTGAACTCGAACTTCTCCATTTTCTCTGAGGCTTTCCACTAGATCTGTGAAAGGCTTTTTTTTTGTTATCTTCATGGTAGAGTTGGGTAGGCTGAGGATTTTCATCCTGGCTGGACCTCTGCCACTGTTAAAACAAGTCATTCCTCCAGAACACCAGGGGGAGCTGTTGTGTCACCCTGTCTTGG